GAGCGGTTAATACTAAGGCTGGGTTCTGAATCAAAAGCTTAAATGGCAGACGAGAGCACGAGGAATGAACTTAAGGCATCCTCTAACATCTTAGAGGACCTCGTGCAGTCTCTAGCTACTACCATGGCTAAAGTCTTGGCATCGCAAACCAATTCACAAGAGTCAGGCAGCAACACAATTAACATAAAACTCGATGGATCCAATTATGATATATGGTCTTAGGTGGTCGAACTTCACCTCTTTGGGAAGGACAAACTGAGATACATAAATGGAGATGTCAGGAATCTACTGTGACAGATTCTATATATCGACGGTAGAAAATGGAGAATGCCAATGTTAAAAGCTTGATCTTGAACTCTTTAGTCCAAAGTTAGTGGGAAACTTCATACAATTCTCTACTGCAAAACAAGTGTGGAATGCTATCGCTACCACCTATTTTGATAGTAGTGACTCCTCTTAGATTTATGATCTCATTAGGAAAGTCAATAGCATGAAACAAGTTGGTGGAACGCTGGAGGCTTATTATAATTCTCTTCAAGGATTATGGAGAGAAATAGATTTTTGGAGACCAAATCCAATGGTATGTGCTCATGTTAAAGATTTATTGCAGGAAAATCGTGTTTATACGTTTCTTAATGGTCTAGATGATCGTTTGGATCGTGTAAGGGGAGATGTGTTGCAGATGAAGCCATTCACATATCTTGAACATGCGTATAGTTATGTTAGAAGGGAGGACACACAATAGAGTGTGATGCTCTCAGGCACTGATGTTGGATCATCTACAACAATGGCTACAAAAGGAAGCTTAAGGAATAGTGGTAAGTTTACCAAGAAGCAATCAAATACTAAAGGCGGGTGTACCCATTCATGGAACAAAAAGCACACCAAGGAGACATGCTTCAAGATACATGGCTACCCAGACTGGTGGCATGAACTTCAATCTAAGAAACAAAAGGAAGGAGGGATAGTGAAGGTCTCTTTAATACATATTGAGCCTCAATTATCTCTTGTTACTCAGGTTGAATCTTCCTCAATTAGCACCTATGATGATGGTAACATATACTTTACATACTTGTCTTCTAATAATGGTAATAATGGAGGGTGGATCATAAACTCGGGTGCTACCGATCATATGACATATTGTGCTGGTGATTTAGTAGAGAAATCACTACCTAGACAATCCTGTATCATAAATGCCAATTGAGAATCATACCAGTGACAGGAGCAGGGACAAATATCCTCACAAAAGAGATCAATGGGCATGGTACTAAGAGGGGAGGACTCTACTACATGGAAGATATGAGTTCTAGTAGAGTGAACAACGTGGGAAA